AATTTCACAGTTTGGAGTCTTAATCATGCGCACTTGCCAGATTAGCAGGTCTTTAGAGAAGGAAAGAGGTAATTTGACACAAATTATGGGTGTGAACTAATAGTAAGTCTTAACAACAGGATCATGGAATAAATCAAGAGCATTAACCATTAATATTGGACAAGGACAATATTGGACAAACACTCATCATATGGGGTTTGGGTGTGTGTTTTGTAATTAAGAAATACCTAATCCCCCTTTAGAGCATTAAGTCACAAGTCATGCACTACTTCCAAGCTCCAGAGAGGAACCTGTCTTCCACAGGGGCAGTGTTCTTTGACCTAGTCTTATTAGTGAGCATTGAAAACCTACAGTTACACCAAGACACACCCAACAGCCTGGGCTGTGTTTGGAAACAGAACTGGGGTGGTTCTCCAGCAAAAAGGAATAATGAAACTAAGAGAAAGGGCCTGGCAAAGAAGCACTTAACCCCGCAAAGCACAGGGTCTGGCCAGACTTTCGTATTTGGATTATAAAGTATATGAGTCTTGGGTCATAAATCATGCCCCATTGGGTTAAGTGCTCTATAAACCTGGAACAAAGGAGATATCACTACTTAATATTACCATGTTCCCTGCACTACCTCTTGCTGGAGATAAAGCCATCTGGTAGATGGGTCAGAGCTCATCTGGGCACTTAAAACCCTCACGTAAGCTATATGGTTTGCTACGGGATGTGTTGTAGCAGTACTACACCACACATACATCCACCACTCACAGTCGTTCAAAAGGGCCACAAAAATTAAAAAAAAAAAACAACAAACAAACAAAACAAAAAAAACAAAACAACAACACACACACACAAACCAATATGCGTTTTCATGGCAGAACTCACTCATAGAAATGGGACTTGGAAATAGCCAGGAAGCTGCAATCTCGGTTGGCCTTGATGGTGAAAATCAGTGGTTCCCCCGTCAGGACAGCGAGCTGACCTACGAGTTCTCCTGGATGGGTAATGAACAGACAGGTGTCCTCCTCCGAGTCTATCTTCCGTTGGTACACATGAAGCATCCCCGAGACCACAAAGCAAACATTAACATCCTGGAGAAAATGCAAAAAGAGCTCAATAAAATCCCCCAAGATTTTAAAAGCAATTATCACAGCGACAGTACTATCATGACCGATCTGTTTTCCAGAAAGCTCCCTACAGTTTTTGAACAATTAGGTGATAAAATAAGACACAATAGTGAATTATTAAAAGCAGGTTATGAATATTTAAAACTAAGCAGCCATGATATTGAAAAATGTGTTTCTTTTTGTACGGTTATGAAAAATGAAGGCTGCATCTGTAAGATCTCAAGAAATAACAACAGAATTGCAAATGGAGATAATGGGGCAATCACAGCAGCATGATGAGGGACGTTGCAGTTCAGCAGAGCAGAATACCGCAGCACCGTAATTGGAGCTGCCTCTCATCTGCTTTGCATAAGCTTGTCTGTTTACACAGTATTATTATAAATGAACCTTGTTATATCCTAAATACCCTTTGCTATAAACAAACACCACTAGATTTCTATTGGTGCGGGCGCGGGGGGACACAACCCAAAACTTTACTGCAACTGAGCGAGATCACCGAAAGCCCGCAGTGCAGAGCATGAAGAAGGGCTGCCCACTCTCCATACCTCCTCAGGAAGGATGGAGGTATGACACTCCGTTCCTTCTCATGAAGGTACAGAAGAGCTGAAAACAGACAGGTACCAGATTTCCACTCTGGCTCTGGCTACGCTGCTACTCCGTGTGCACGGAAAGCCTGAGAGCTGGGATTGTTTCACATCGAGAAGAAAAGGCTTGGAAGGGGCTGGGGGGAGCACTTTTTGTCTATCATCATGAACGTGTATCAATACCCTATGGTGGGGGCCAAAGACTGAGCCAGACTTACACTCTCTCTACTCTCAGATGATGCTGACTCACCTGATCTCCTTGCCTCGATAGCACAGTCCCAGCAGTAACCTGATGCAGCGTCACTTTGCCATTCAACAACGAAGGATCCTGAAGAAGGGGGTGGAGGGTACAATTTACTTGTCTGTACACATGTAAAAGATCCAAGAATGTAAGGAAGCATTCAAATAAAGCAAATAAAAATAATAATTACTAAAGACGATATTGTAAGTAGTTGAATCTCTTTAAAATGTGGCGCACAGATTTTTACATTTCTCTACCCAACAGACATTTCTTCCACAGGACAAAAAGGTTTAATTTATTTCAATTGATCAGACTTAGAATCTTAAGGGTTTTGTATTTGTCAATTTTGTCCCCAGACTCTTAAGGGTCTATAACGAAAACAGCCCTCTACCAGCTGGCATGAAAATCATGAAATATGAAGTTATTTTCAAAGGAAGGTAAAATGAGAGGAGATTGTCTACATGGAGGAACTGGACAAGATGATCTAACACTCGCTTTATCACAGCCCTTCCCTGGTCACACAGCTCAGCTGTGCTGTGCCCGCGTAGCAGATTGTCATACACACCGTAGAGCAAAAGCTTCCCCAAAGTAATGAATTCTTGTCTGCATGCACACATGGATTGCACAGAAGAGTGGGAATTTTCCTCCTGACTGAAGAGCACACGGGAGGGAGGGTCTTTCCAAAAGCCTGCCCTCAGTTTGGACTCAACCCCAAACCCCTGCAATGGCAACCGCTGATCTGGTTCAGTGCATCAACTGATCAGAAGATTCCTTCCCAGCTCCAAAACTGGTCACCACCATAATCCCAAGTATGTAACACAGACAACCACCAGGCATGGAGAGAATTTTCTTTCATCTCAAAGAACCGCCCCAACAATTTGGTGTCCCATGTGCAGTCAGTATCAAACCCTAGTGCTTCAGGCCACCTTTGCTTTGGCAAAACTTCCATCCAAACCAGCAAATCTTCAAAAGCTCAACATTTTGGTATCATCATCCAAATGGGTAGGGGCAAAAATGTACGCTCGATTACGTGATTCTTACTTTATGCTGAGAGTGACAGTGTAGTCCTGGCGTCTCGCAGCTTAACCTCTGCAAGGCAAAGCTGGAGTGTCTGGGACTTTGCCACCCAGGCAGAACCACTCAAAGCAAGAGCGCTGCACGCGCAGCGAGATACAGTTCAGTGCAAGCAGCATAGCAGGATCTGCCCATAGTCATTAGCCTTACTGCAGCAGGAAAACAACATAGCAGAGATGTCAACGTTTTACCACTGTAATTGTTACACCAGGTTTTTCTCTTTGCATTTTCGGTTCGAAAACAAAATAGAGCAAGTGAAATAATCAGAATTATTCTTTACACCTACAGCTGATAAAAAGAACAGATTTTCATCAAAAAATAGTTTTATTGAAACCAATCTGTTTCACGGGAACATATCCAATGCAAAGAACCTGACAAGCACCTGTCAAAATATTTTGGTTTGGCAATATCAACTCAACTAATTTCTATGATGTTTCTTCTATATTTATACACTTACGGTTGTACAGTATTACCTATTCTTAAAGACAAAGTTTTAACTATGAAAGTATCTCACAGTAAGGGAACACAAGCTCCCTAATGAGCCCTACTTATCAACGGCTGGTTTTTTGGCTACATTAGCTCTAACAAAACTTGTTGCAAAGATTTTCTTCACATCTAAGACTACCTAAGTACTGGAATAGATTGCACACAAAGCTGTGAAGTCCTCATCATTGGAGATCTTTAAGAACAGTTTAGACAAAAACCTGCCAGAAATGACTTAGCAATATTTGATTCTGCCTTGGGCATGAAAAGAGACTTGAATGACCGCCAAGTAGTCCTTGAAATTCTACTTTTCTGTGCTATTACCACCCTGATTAAGCAACAAGACCCATCCTGTCTAGTATCTTCTCTCTTGAATGGGCAAGACCAGCAAACCCAAATGCAGCATTGCATAGTTACAAGGTTTGAGCTAAATAACTTTGCACTGACCCCCTCCAGCCTCCTCTAGCCACTAGCTTTCTAGGAAAAGAAGTTGCTAGCACAACAAAATCCCTTTCACAGCAAGTTTCTTTCCTTGTGTTACTATAATAGATAACAAATTAGCAGAGCATAATCACTTTATGATGCAAAGTGAAAGCATAAACCACTTCTAAACAATAAACAAAAACAGTAATTAACTGGGACAAATAATTTTTTTTGTCAAAGGAAGCGACTCAATTCCCTTGTAACTCACTCAGAACATATGCCCTGCAATATTGTTTAACTCTCATAACTGCAGATAAAGCTGAACACATGTGAAAGTTGTATGAGATTGAAAACCATTCAGGACAGAGACCCAAAGAACTCAAGTTATTTTGAACAAAAGAAGAAAAAGAAAATCTTAGTTCTGAAGTCAGATACCTGAGGGGCATTTGAAATAATACTGCCTCTCTCCTATAAGGAGATATATATATTATACCCTCCTCCCTCTCTCTTACAGTCTCTGGGAAAAAAAAATACAACTACCAAACCACCAAAAACCAAAACATCACCATCTGTCATCAAAACATCTTGATTTTATTCACACTGATTGGCTGCTCTGAAAAATGACATCTTAAAATGCCTCCAGCCAGCTGAGAAGTAAAAGAACTGAGCTTTTTTTTTTTTTAGAAGAGCTTACAGAATTAATTTTCTTCCTTTCTGTAAGTAGCACTGAACACAAATATTTTAAACACAATAAGATGTTTCTTTTATTGCCTGCAGAAGAATCAACTTTTGCTATCCTGCACTGAAAAAATTAACATTGACCTTTAAATGAGATTTCTAGCATTTGGTTACATTCCATCAGATTTTTAGTTGCTTGTGAAAAACTGAGTTGCTATAATATCAAAATTTGAAAAGTTTACCTTATTTCATTACTATTCAGAGCTTCATGTTAAAAACACTGCCTGTTAAATGCTGCATTTTAAGGATACTGTTCCAATTAACTTCAACTCTAGTTGAAGTAAACTCAACGGTTTTTCCTTGGAATTTTTGCTCATGATCCGATAGGTCTAAAAAGGACGACATCAATTGGATATTGGATACCAACTTTCATTACAAGCGGTGTCTGAGGCCAGTCCTATCAAGAACAGAAGGCTGAACAGAACAGATGAAAGTACCTAGTCCTACTTTACTCCATCTGTAACAAGAATTTCTTCTAAACTAGTCTGTAGCCTTTTCATGAGGATATAAATGCCTGAAAAAACTGAAAATTAACATGACAAGACAGTTGATTCTCCAGCAGACTAACAGACAGTACTGCACCCCTTAGTCAAATCAACGACAACGTAGAGCATGTATCTCGAGCCTCACTACTGGTAGCTGAAAGATCATAACCAAGATTTTGAAGTTGTAAGGGGAATAATTTGGAAGTCAGCAAGGAATGTTAAAATCCAAAAGTAAAATCTTTTAAGTTCTAGCAAGTGTTGTTTGATGAGAGCTCTTAAAGTAGAAGAATGGGCACAGCACAATCACTCAGCTGCAAAATGCGCTCAGAGCCAATGGCCAAATACAGAGATTCAGTTCCAAAAATCAAACAAGGCATTCGGATGCTATGCCAACAGGATTAATAGATTCAGCGATTACCTGAACCCCTTTACATAACTTCTTCACACAGTGTGCGAGAGCATGAAATTACAAGGCAGCAGAAATTGCACACTTCTCACATGAATAAATCTGTACACAGTGAGAAAAGATTCGCGTAGTGCATTTCAGTATGTTCTTTTCAAATGGCAGAATAATTCAGGATTTATTTCAGGCCTTCTAATAACTTCAATGGACTAGGGAATAAAACATTCAGCTAGTCTACAGTGTACTAGGGAGACAATTTTCTCTTTAGTGCCTGGCAGAATGAGATGAAAAGCAGAAACAAAGCCATTTTTTCCTGCAGTAACTTACATCAAGTTTCATCAAGGTTGAAAGGTCTTTCTTTGCTGCTTCGACGATGGCATCAATATGTTTGCTGTTACAGGAATCGTGCACAGCACTATAATGGAAAACCGCTGAAGGAGTTTCTGTCACCGTCACCGTCTTCTTCAGTATCGACTGCAAGGAACAGATACACAACAAGTATCCTTTCAACACTGTAATTGGCACCTACCCAGCAAAAACTTGACGTATCATCTGTGTTCTCTATCTACCACAACTGGTGGCCTAGGAAAAAAAAAAGCTAGGTTTCCAAAATAGCAACAGCTTGCTAACTTCATTATCCTTGTTTTTTTCTGCAAAGCTTGACACTCAAGTCAAACAAAGTTACTCATCACAGCTTGCAAAAGGGAAGAATAAGAGACTTTTCAGAAACTGGGCAGCTGCCAGCTTGACAGAACTAAAACTTGATCAACACTATATACAAAGATGGAGAAAAAGATAAAATGTCCGTCAAGGTCACATGGAGCCACAGTTTCTCTTCAGATTTTGGTTTGCAGTTTTATAATTCAAGAGCACAAAAATGCTCTTAACTTCCAGGTTAATACTTGTAAAAAGACGACCACAAAAACAGATTCATAAAACATGACTGAAAACCTACAGGAAATTCACAGGCTTAACCCTTTGCTGCAAGTAACTCTCACAAATAAAGCATGATCTGACAAGTCTGCCTTTCCAAATAATCCTTTTTATGAATCACGGGAAGGCAACAGCTAAAAATCAAGAAGTTGCAGCAGATTTCCCATTACTTGCCAAAGGAATCTCCACAGAGTTTCAAGATTGCACTAAAAAGCCAAAACAGTCACCAAAATCTACAGAAACAACTGTAAACTAAAACACACCAATACAAGACCATCAAATATCACAACTCATACAGAAGTTGCAAGGGCAGCATTTCAAAGTAAGGGAGAAAACATCTAAATTACTCAAAAGAATAATGATGAGTAAGGAATTGCAATGCCAGAAACGTGCTGGGGTCTCCAAAGGAGAAGACCTACCTTGCCCACAACAGGACTGCTGGCAGCGTCCTCCGAGCCAAAGTGCACTCTGGCTCTTTCATACGCCATGTCCATGTCCGACTTCGCACCGCTGGAATTATCTACAAGCAATATGAAAATCTTTTAAGCACCTCCCTTATTACAGTTACTCAGAAACAGCAGATAGTATGCAAAGTTTAGCAACTATTTGTTTTTTCATTTCTGAAGCTGAGGATAAAATAGAAAGTGGCATCCTCATATTTTTATTTATTTCCTAGTTTCTTTGAGCCTGGAAGATCTGATGGAAACTTTAAATCTTCTCATCAGAGCTCATGTATAAAATATGTCCCAAAATTCCCACGGAGTACAACAATTATTTTGAGGTAGACAAAACAGAGTCATTCCGATCTGAAGATTACCAGGAAGAGGCAAATCTACCAAACAGATTTACTTCACTTTTTTTAGGAAATTATTCTTATTAACCTTTTCTCCACTAAACCAAAGAACATTTTTTTTACCCAATATATTGCAAGAGCTTTCATAGAGAGAATATTATGAGCAACAACTTCTTAAAGTCTCTCCATAGAAAGCATTCCCCCCGCCTCAATGCATAAAATAATTTCAGATCTTTTCTATAGCTTGTCCAAACTTCTAATGCATGTCATGTGCTGAGCGATACTTAAGGAATTCCCTTACAGGTCTCACTTATTTAATTCATTAATTTGAAGTCTAACAACTTCTATTCCTTACTTCCCAATTTTAATCCATCTTAATTATATTAGCTTCTTGGCTGTCTCATCCACCTTTCAGGAATTTATCTGAGAGAATCAATAATGCAAACATAACTGGGAAACAGTTCCTATTTAATTACCTTGAAAGGATACCCACATATCAGCCTGATGATTTACTGCTGAGTTTAAAAATCATGCAGAGATTGCAATTTCCTTCAACAAATAAACCCATAATCATTTCTATCATATTTCCATGCCCAATATATCTCAAAAATACACTGTATTCAGAAAAGTTTACATTTTCTCCCTCAAGCCTTTTTCTTTCTGTTACTACATTGTTCTTACACTTCTGCTTTTTAAAATACCAACTGCTGCTCCAAAATAGGATGGGCCCTTAGGAAAAACAATTGTCTTTCCTGACTGTTGAATTTTGTTACCTAATAAAAGGCTCAAATTTTTAATTCTGAATTTCTCCCCCACCACCCCCACGCTACACACACACACCGAGTTTGCCCAGGATTGCTCCGATCTTTGAAAAGTTGGAGCTGCCCTATAGTTACATCCTTGTTGCATATGATCATGTGAAAATATTACCCTCCCATGAACAGCTGTCTATAAATTTAATTTTAAAAATACAACTATTTTATTTCTGAAGGAGCTCAACTCCTATCTCCACCCCAGCTAGGACAAGGAGAGGATCCTACAGTCCCAAGGATTCAGATCTACCTCAGAGTACTCTTTTCCATGTTATCTACAAATACGAACAAATCTTTGCCTGCAGTAAATCCTATCTGCCATTTGGGTCATAACACCATTTAATGATCAGCTTCCAAACAAGAAACCCAACAAGTTGACCCAAAGATTGTCGTCAGCAAAAGTTACAAACCATAAGATGACCCAGAAAAAAAAAAAAAAAAAAAGAGCTGTTTATGCTACTAGCTGAATTTCATACACATTCCAGCATTAAAGACCCTTAAATTAGTTATAAACAAAAAAAGCTGGGATAGTAGAAATAGCAGCATGGAACTCCATATGGTCTGATTTGACTACCTGTCAATTATACTGCCCCACAAATCACAGTGTCAGCGTAATTATTAAGCCCCAGTACACCAAGTGCATTTTAAATCTAAACACACACTTCTTGGGTTAAACCTAAATAATCTGATAATGGGTATGTAGGCATGCAAAGCATCCTCTACATAGCTCTGCATATTAAAAAAATCAGAGAAAGGAAAAAGAGGAGGCATTCTAAGAGTGAAAGCTTATGTCTACTAGACTTCTATTCAAAGCAGAAATCTTCATCTCAGTCATAGATATAAGCTTCCCACACAGTGATTAATTAAACTGCCTTGTTGCTCAGATGGGAGTTAGAAAGGATAGAGCAGAACAAGCTTTAACTAGAAGCGTTGAGTCAAAAGAACAGAAGGCAGTGGGAAACTCGAGAGTGGAATGCAATCCTGTTTGATGAACACATGCTCCCTGGTAACCCACACACTGCTGGTATGGAAATCACTGCAAAAACAATGGCACCTGACACAGTCCCTGGCAGTATTTCACTGCCTCTTTCCTTCCAAGTACTCACTCACTGAACTACCTGCTTTTCCTAACGCAGGTGGCCCTGTGCTCCTGCACCTATGCTGTAGGGTCACAGCTTCAATTCTGAAGAAGTAAAAGCAGCTCCTCTTAACTCTTGATAAAAAAAAAATCCCCAAACCAACCAATAAAAGATAACTGCTATTTAACCTTGAAAAAATTAAGTTGGGAACACTTCCAGGAACAATGAAACCAATGAAGTTATCACATACAAAAGATCCTGTGGTTTTATTTCGTTCATCTAATTCTTCTGTCCACCAGCCCAGATACTCCACATGACTTAATTACATCTTTTTCCACATAAAGGGTTAGTATACTTAAAAAGTAGGCTAGCCTGAGTTGGCAGGATCATATTTCCTCACCTACACAACTGTTACGTTTCAGCTTAGCCAGCTATACAAAACACAGAAGAACAAGTTACACCCCAACCCCAAGAGCAGCTGAGGCAAAAATGTTTTCCCGAAAGTCATTTTTAACAGTTTCTGTTGATTTTAATGAGCCAAGCAAATCAAAGAGATGCCGAGATAATAGCACTTGTATGACTCTAATAACAGACAGTTCTCTTTTCTTTGAATCAATAATAAACATAATCAATATTCCCATGGAGTCTGAACACACAGTAAGGTAGCAGAAGAAAATCTGAAGCAAGATCTTGATCTTTTCATTACAGACATGAAGATACTCTCCGTGCAAGCTACAGAGTGACTGTAGCCTCAGTGCAGTGAACAGAAGTCATCTCCATTAACTGAGACAAACCATAATTACCCAATTAGATATGCTCCTTCTGTCAGTAAAAATTAATTTTCTCTCTCTGCTAAGCTCTGTGTACCCTGACATAACTCTTACAACACGTAAAAGGAGAAAGGAAGGACAGACCTATTCACGGTTAGGTATGCAGGGATCATTCCACATAAAAGCTTCTAACAACACGCATGGACCCTGCCTTAAAAGCATTACAGGGCTGCCCAGGCAGATCTCACTGAACTACTTTATTTACCTTGGGGAAAAATGGCTATGTTCAGAGTAAGCATTTCTGAATGCACCACTGAATCAAGTCTGCTGGTATATTTTATAAAGCATAGTGCAAAACAACCTAACATATATGAAAATAAATGTTCTTATCTCCTAAGCCATTTAATAGTCAACGTAAGCAACACATGTATCTTCTAATGTATCCAGGGTACCTTTATTCCACTGATTAAACTTTATATGACTTCTCTATTAACAATACCTCCATAATGACTATAGTATCTAAGCATGACCTTACAACCACCTCAGGATGGTTAGTCTGGTACTCAGCTAACAAGAGACAGATTCTTTCCTTTTATGGTTCACCCAAGAAGTTCCACTTTCTCTACCTTGAACATAAAGCTAATGTAAACAACTGGCTCAGAGGAAGATGTCTACAGTGAAGATGACTGAAATTCACTGAAATGAATACTGCTCAGCCTCATAAATCTATCAGAGCATTCAGTGAGAAATCACCTTTATCACCCACTCAAACACCATTCCTCTAAAAGCAACAAAGCCATGAAATGTGCTCTTTGGGACAATCAGCCAAGCAAGAATCGTGTGTCATCTTTTGCATGAAAGTTGACAGCATATCATCATAACTTGCTTTATTTCAGTTATGTCAATTAATAAAGCTCTTCATTTGCAGGTCTCTCAGTAGCCAATTACTGTACTGTTCCCCATTGCTAATAAAGACAGCAAGAGAATGCCCTCTTAGATAATAGTCCATTTGTTACTTCAGAAAATCAGTTTTTGACAAACGAGCTAGATAATAGTCTTGCAGTAGTACTGCTTCCTAACATAAACAGGAGGATTATCTAGCCCAGTGCTCCAGAGAGCATGTGTCTTCCCCCACATGATTAGATACATTACGTATTTTAGACAATTTTGCCACGCGCTACTTACTAGAAGCCTCTGCAGATCCTGCATAGGGAGGTGAAGAAAGACTTCTTCTGAAAACATGCTCAGAGCTTTCTGTACCAGAAACTTTCAACATATCTGAAATTTAGAAACAAAAAAATTACACAAATGTGAAAAGGTGCTTCCTAATAAATTTCATTGACAAGAACCTCTCACTACTCACTTTTAAAACTTATTAAAGGCTGTGTTAAAAGGTTTTGAAACACCAATGTGAAACATTGTTTAAACCTGCTCCCTACTTTTGCTTTAATTAAAAAAAAAATTTTCAGGTTCAGAGGCAAAGTTCAATTCAATCTATTTTCCCAGGTTCAGTTTCAATACTGACACTTCAACCTGAAAGCCTACACATATCCAGCAATTGTTCTGCTAGTACCCAGAGTGCAGAATTTTCACAGCTCCTCCTATGAAGCCAACATTAGGAGCCATTTTTTTCCCCCTCCTCCTCATCCCTCGATATCATCCACACCACAGTAATAATTTCCTATTAAAGCTAAGGACTACCCAAAGACTTCAAACCTGAAGCTGATTTAAGAGAATCCCTAACTACTCTAATCAAATAGAAATCCTCTGATGAATAGGGCAATTAAAACATCACAAAGGACGGTTACTACACGTTTGCAGAAACATTACCCATTTCCAGAGCTTCCCCAGTTTTTTCAAATTTTTCTCCACGATCTTCCTCTGACACGTTAGACACTTGTCTTTTTACTGCTTTGCTCGAACTTCCTCCAGATGTTACACTTGCCACAGAAATGAGCGGGATGGCTTGGCTCTGCTGCAAGCAGCAAGGTGAAAAGGCAAATATAAAACACTCACTCACCCATGTTAAACAGCACTGGACCCTGTATTGACCCCTGGGGTACTTCCCCCAGTCGCAGTGGTCAAAGACTATCGAGGGTGGCCTTGCAATGATAGCTGCCAACTCCCTCAGCACTCCTAGGTGCATCCCATCATGGCCCATGGACTTATGTGTGTCCGTTTTGCTTAAGTATCCCCAGACCTGATCCTCTTCCACCAAGGATACATCATCCTTCGAACTGTTACAGGCAGAAGTGACTCACCATCATTAACACATCGGGACTTGCTGAAACATATTGTTGTTTGTGCAGTGAGGCACATACATCAGTTTGAAGTGATGAGCTTCTACAAACTTTTGAAATTTAAGCTTGTTCTGCTCCCCCCAATTCCCCAGGCATCAGCATAGATTAGGTTTTATGGGCTGGTTATAGAGAAGTAAAGTACTTGCAAGTACTGTCATTATTAAATTAATATTTAACATTTGCTTTACGGTCTTCTGAAAAAAAGGAAAACCTGTGTGTGACTTGGCACAGACAGGCTGTATAGGAAGCACAGACGAAGTGTACCCCAAACTTACACAGTTGAAGAGCTCAGTAGTCAGACCAAGGTAGTTGTGCAAAGCAAGGAATGTCACTCTCTGCAGCCTTACCATGATGATCTAGGAACAAAAAAATCAAGAAGCAACAAGAGTGGATTTAGTATTCTCCCACACTCGTTCTTGCAGTTACATACAGTTATGTACCAGAGTACCTGAAGGCATTTTATAAAATACAGACTGTACCCTAAGCTGAAATTCCTTTTCAGCAGTTGATAAATTGAGGCAAAGATAGAGTCAAGTGATTTACCAAAGACTTCATCATTTGATGGCACAAGAATCCAAAGCATTGTTGCCAGACACCAAATAATGCTTTTTGCTTTCTGTAAACATGAATAACAAACATGCCTTGAAATAAATGCATTTGCTTGCATTTCCCCCCTCTCCATTAAAAAAAAAATAAATTATTTACCCATAAGGAGCCCGTGCCACTGCTCTGCAAGCACTCTAAACTAGCGTAAGACATCACTGCCACCTGACCTTCCTCTGCCCTGGCAGTTTATTCCCATTCTTAAGCCATCCTCTCTTACGTATCAGCTCTCACAGAGCAAATTAAGTTGCTCTAATAATCTGTTCTCCTCAACCATCAGTATTAGGAGGTTCATGTGTCACTCATAAATCATCCAGATACCAGAACAGCTTGCAAGGACAAAAAGATTTAGAAGTGATAGTAAACCAAAAGGACAGACCAAAATGACTGATAAGGTCATGTGCACCCATTTGACTATTATACCTGTGGGACAATGCAGCATTTGACAAACTCTCCAAACTGAAATCATTAATTCACTGGTCCCTGCACTAGCTTCCACTTGCAGGATGTGCAAGACATATTTGCAGTCCTCACTTGAGAGCTTTCTAAGCTCCTGTAAAGCAAAGGAAGGTGAACTTACAACTAATACAAAGCACAGCTCTTTCCTCAGATGCTGACAATAGCTTCTGAAGGGGAAACTCGCATCAGTCTGAATTTTGTGAATTTTGCAAAGCCTCAGCCCTCAATAAACAGCTTGTGAGGATACAGCAGTCCTTTCTCAGAATTACATGACTGTCTTTTCCATGCTCTAAGCCATTTTGAAACCCTGTTGGTGCATAACCATGATGCAGAGCCCATGCCAGCACATTCTACCCCACCAAGACTAAAGAGCTTACAGTGCAGGTCAGGCTATCACACAGAGAAACTGATTAAATGTATATAAATGAATTATTTCTTCCTGTATGTGATTAATGCTGAGATCATCGAGTCTAGGACTCTAAGAGTGAGAGGAATAGCAAAACTAGTTCAAATCTTGAAAAGAACCTATATTGAACAGTTCCGTATCTGCAAAAGGATTATGAGCTTACTGAACTTCAAAAATGTAACTTTAAAATTAGAGTGATTTTTTTTTCTTCCCCCAATTCTACTTAAAAACAAAGCTTACCTGTACCACTCTAACAAGAGTTTCAGGGTATTTCTGGAAGACATCTTGAAAGGCACTTGCTGGAAGTCGCAATATAGTGGATGGAACGGCTGCTCGGGCTGAGACAGTTTTATAAGGAGCAGGGTGACCCTAACAGAAAGTTTCAGAGACACAAGGTTAATGCACCAATTACCTCACCCAATTCTTCCTAATCGCTTCCTGAATTTCTGCTTTGATATTGTATATGCTTGACAGGCATCATCTGACCACAAAAAGCCTTCAACTTATGCTCCATGACCTACAGGTGGTGCAATGAGGGCGGCATGGTCAGGTGAAGTCACACCAGCAATTTCACTAGCATTAAACAGAGGCAGAGGTAGAGAAATAGGAGCTACAAGAAGATGTATCAGGTTAAGGGGAAGATGCTAGTCTGTCAACTCTGTTAACTCTGTTACAGTTTTATTACAAAGGCAGGCTTCAGAAGTATTTCAACTGCCAGCTATTCAAGACTGCAGAGAAAAAGAGGTTTTGTTGATTTTATTATCTGTACTGACCACCAAGTTATTTGCTGCAATAGCAGACTCACACAATCAGCAAAAGATATAATAACAAAATTGTATAGTAATTACATACATAATGGAGTACGACAAAACCCAGGCAGACTTCTTATGTTCTAAGATATGAATATATATGTATCTTCACATATATTCATACATATATGTGGAATATTCCAAATGACAAAACCAAACAGCTTCTCTTTACTCGATATAGACTGGGTCTCAAAGACACAGATGGAGAATTAACAAACCAAGGAAAGATAGAACTAAGTGGGAAGAATACAGAGATTTTTACACTGGAAGGCACCCTTGAATCAAAACAGATTTTAAACAAAAATCTACTGCCAAACATTTGCATAAAAACTCCAGACAACACCCCTTCAACCCCATCAGAGATATTCTTTTCAGCATTTACTAAGTCATGAATTCATTTACCAATACATGAAACACTGATTTATCCAATCTTTCTAAAATAAAAGGCATCCTTCTGTGGTATGGAGCAGGAGCTAAGGAAGAAACGGAGTTTCTACTTTAACACAGTCACCTTACAGCTTCTGAAGCTTTCATTCCTCCTGAGCAGCAGACGGCAAATTTTTCCAAACACTAAACACACAGATGCTAAATGCTGATTACAAACAGGAAAACTTGCAAGTCTTCCAGAGCATCAGACAATTAAACACAATCACTGCAAAAGAATTTCTGCCTAAAGAACTCAGCAAATCCAAACAAGATACATCCTGTAAAACTATAACCACTCTGGAAAATAAAGCTACAGCTCTGTCTGCCTTGCTGCTCTGGAAGTCACGATGAAGCAGATTCTAAAATTAAATTAAATTAATTGGAACCAATTTCTTAATTACACCAACTTCAGCTGACCTTTTTATAAAATCTGGGGATGATATTAATAGCTTTGATTTTCGAGTTCCTGAGGGATTTGAAATTTTAAACATCTCTTTGACCTACAGTGCAAAGTTACCAGGCATCCTCAGTTTTCCTGAATTTCTTTTAATTAAGTAAAGAAATTATCAAATTACATTTCTGTGCCTTCTGCTGTACCAAAAATAAATACCACATTCCTCTTTTACCACCCAGTTTAAAGCCTGGCTTCAGATGAAGAATTAGTTTAGAATTCTCCTTATACTCAAATGTAAAAGAAAATGTATATAGTCTGCTTTTAAATACATACATTGCTGTAATTGCCATCAACTGTTATTTCCTAGAAATTTCTATACCAAATATATAGCGATAAGCTAAAGAAACCTATTAAATCTGTAGTTGCTGGACAAAGGATAAGCATTAAGTTTAACGGTGTTCCATAATAGTTATTCAAAAGGGCAAAATAAGCACTGTACATCACATTTCTATGGTCTAATTCTACCCAGTAAAGTGTTTGGTGGTTTTTCTGAACAGTGCTTGTTTGAGGATAGACCAATGCTGACAGAAAACCAGCCTAAGGATAATAAAGGATAATGATGCAGCAGCCTTTTTCTCCAAAGAACAGCCTATCCCTCCAGTTTTTCAGCATATAATTTTTCCTTTTCTAAATCCCTGCATGAGAGCAGCCTGCTTTTGAAAGGGCCAACCACCATGTCTAATTGGTTTGGAACATGCTAAAAGCTGTCAGAGGAAGACAAAGAAGAAATGTTCCCATAATTGTCAGTTCTCTCAAATATAATGTAATCAGCCACACACGGAGAATACCACATTTAAATTACATTATTTTACAATCACACATTGAGGTCACAAGGAACAGTTAAGTTATAATCAGTAGCGAACCAGGGGTTTTTCAACAGAGAACTTTTTGTTCTCAACGTGGATGACGATTTACTTCTGTCTTACTCCAAGAGCTGTGGAGTAATTAAATATTGTAGGTGACAAATGTCACAGCTAAAGTAGTAGTTGAATCCAGATGACAGCCAATGGCCAAATCCAAATGAATTTGGTTAAGAAATGTGCTACAAGAGACACAGGTGCCTCACCCTCTCCCTCTTGGAGTGGTAACTCCTTTTTGTACCCAAAAATCTGGCATATGCCATGCCATGACGACACTGCTGCAACCCAAAGTTCTTTCAGCAATCAACTGCTGCTTTATAACCTCATCTATCTTGTCCACCGTCATTTAAACAGACTTGAGCCCTGCAGGCTCACCTTTATCCCAGTGTTTTTTCAGCTTCTTTTAACCCTCAGATTTTAATTCCACCCCCCCCTCCCCAGTCACTTGCATTTGATCAATATTCCTCCCAGACTCTTCTTTTTCATTGCAGCTATGCCACCTGCTCACAGTTTTCCAAATACCATCTCCACATGGAGGACAAAAGAAGAATAAAACCCAAAGCTCCAGCAATCAGTATCAAATGCCATCTCCATTTGTCCCGTTTAGCTCTGAATGAAAATTCACCATTCAGGAAAGAGATCTGACTGCACGCAGGGGTAGAGCGGGCACTCAGCAACAGCTTCTGGAAACACTCGTCTGGAAATCACCAACGCTCAGTTCAGAGATTTCCTTAATATCCGAGGCAGCATGAATTCAGAGTCAGATGAACTACCACACAGAACTGCTCCAAAATACCAGGAACGGGCTAGCATCTACCTGGATTCAAAGCCTCCAATTTCTCCTTCAAGTTTTGAGAAATAAGCATATATCTGCTCTAGGAATAAGAGACAGAACAAGTCTCTTATGTCATGGCTGGTATCTTCGTATTTAGTAGATCTAAAGGGACTTTTCAATTTAAAAAATTGGAAAATTGAGTTAGGAAAGTACCTCTTGCATGACCTTTCTTTTGGATCCAACAACAAGAGGTTGCCACTTCTTGCTGCAACCTCAGTTTTCTTGCACATCTCTTAACCAAGTGGGGGACTGGCCTGACGTCATGTGTGACAAAATTAGTCAAAGGAATCACAAATTCACCTTAGACAACTCAAATCCTCTCTGAATACTTTATTTCTTCATGTCAGATCCATATGTTTGGTGGTACAGTAACACTTAAAGTTATGGTATCGGCAGACTCATTCACTCATTTGGAATGCCCCTGGGAAATTTCCTCTATTTTATCAATGCCACTTTCTCTCTCCTTGACCATTTTCATGCTACTCTTATACCTAAAAGTCAGCAAGGAGCATAAGGAAGAGGAAAACCAGAAATAAAATAACCAGTTCACAAAGCTGGAAAACAAGGCAGAAAAGAGATGGCTGTAAAAATAAATGAGAACAAGTTACTTCAGACAAAAAGTTTGCAAGCTTTTTGCTTATATACTCTTCTGCATGCTGATACCCTTTTCAACACATTTTCAATAGTTTTCATTTTCTGATTTGACTGGGTTATAACTAATGAGAAAAAAAAAATGATAGAATGAGAATTGAAAAAAAAAAACAAAAAAAACACAGAACCAAAAGGAGAACCCCAAATACACACAACACAAAATGAAAGGCAGCCACCCCTAAATAACACAAAACCACAAACCATTGTTATACAAGAAGGATTTCTTCTCATTTATTCAAAAATAATATAGGAAAAGAACATGACTAGTATTCATGTTCCTATACAATGATTCTGCTCTTTAGAATATTAAGAAAATTTACTGGTGGAAGTAACAAGGGCAAAGGTTACTCTAAATCTGCTATTAATATGGATTTGATGGCAAGAACTAGAGTTATACAGTCCAGATTATTCATTTACCATTACTTTCTCAGAAGAAAGCATGACCAAGGTTACAATTGCCTATCACTTTCGATAACTTTTATGGAAGTTTTATCTATAAATATAAATATACAGACATATGCTTGCATCTAGAAGTGGCAAAGAACACTTACAGCGTCATTAAAACTACTTACACTTGGAATAACAGTACCTTTTAATGAAAGGAGACAGCCAAGGACCAGAGAAGCGTGGTACAAGGTCAAATATGAACAAGTTACTGATTAGATTATCTTCATGCTCTCAACTATTAAAAGCCTTCAATTTAGCACTTCAGGTGCTTGCGTGTTATCGAAGATGATGAATCCACCACCTTCAATTTAGGTATTCCTAAGTAGATGCACTGTGACAATTTCAGCCAAACCATCATTGTAATTCCAACTGAAACAAAATCCACACCACTAATTTGTGCAATAAATAGCGTTTAGCTCATCTTGTCGCCTGCCAAAGAGCACAACCTTCAGATGGTCACCAGCAACATTAACATATTAGGAAAAAATTAAATCCATCAACCGGTTTCACACTATAATTACAATAATAACAACTGTCAGATTTATTTTCATTAGACTGAATAAAAATAAATTCAGTAAGTAACAAACCAAACAGTGTAAAAGCCTGGACTTCTGGGCCCTCACCTGGTCCTTCTCCTGACTGCTTTGTGACCTTGAGTGAATCCATAAAAGAATAATTTTTTCAGCCATAAAAGAATAATTCAAATCCTACTGCTTCTCAGAAATAGCCAGTGTTAGAGTGTCATGCATACACATTTCATAACCAACTTACAGAGCTAAGCTTACAGCTGTGACAGCCTGGGAGGAGGAAAAGAATTGGTCAAAGAAATGTTTTCCATTCCGATTGTTTCATAGCAATATTCAATGTCTACTTCCCCCGACAGGCTCTGCGACAAAGCAGCACTGCAGAAAACCCACACGTTCAAGAACTTACCGTGATAACATCAAGAATGCTGAGAAGGCTATGGACGCTGTCTCCCGCCAGCACCTCCTTAACCACCACTTCTGTTCCATCCTGCAGGTGTAGGAGAGAAGATTACTGCAGGCTCACAGCTGCATATTTGGCATATATGGAGCATTTCAGAAAGCTTAACTTGCTCTCACTCTCCCAGTGCTCTGAGAAGCCCTGAAAGAAATGGTCCCCCACTATAACCTGGATATTTGTTTTCTCTCTGCTCTGATGGAAATGTGCTAATTCAAACCACCAAAGTTTTAAACCACCATTCTAAAAGTGATAAATTAAAAGACACTAAGCTAGTTTTGTCTAGGGGGAGATATGACCTGCTTAAGCTTTGCTATGTAGCAACTGATAAAAAAAAAAAGCTTCCTTCACTCACAGACAGAATTAGCTCCCTTTATCAAGGGATTACAGGTCAAGAAGTAGTACAAAACAAGGAACAGCAAAATGCAAAAATATACAGAAATCAGCAAATTTGGGTTAATTTACAAACACAAAGCCCCTGCATTTTTAGACTTCAGAAAACTGTTCAGATGTTAAAGTTAAACTCAAAGTTCAGTCAGGAAGAAGGGAAAACCAAAGTAAAATCTAAATCGCAGAAGGGATCACAAAGGCTAGCACTCAACATTTTAAGACTTGCCCGTAAAACAAGCCATCATTTCTTTTCCCCGTCTCCCCAAAAGTGAATCTGAATCTTCCACCCCACAGGCAAACCCGCTAACTACCATGCAAGAATATTATGGAGTGAAGTGTACTTGATCTCTCCTGATCTGTACACCTATTTTATATAACTACTATCCAAAAGGAGAATGTTTCCAACACTATGCAAAGCCAGTCTTCCACCCTGTCCTCCCTGGATAACTATGCAACTAGAGTATGTGAGAACATTTCAGAATGCCTGATCAGCATTGTGTTTCACTCTCTCATCTAAGACATGGGGGATGACAGCTCAAAACCTTGATCTTTATAAATATCATGGCACTGAAGGGTTGGAAGTAATCCCTTCTGAATCACTACGATTCAGATGTCTGAGCTTAATCAATACTTAATGATGTATGCCAAACCATATGCTATGCCAACAGATTGATCTCAAAAACCATGGATCAGTTTATTCTTACACTTTCTTGAATGCAAACTTCCAGCTTGCCATCCTGCACAACGTAGATGCTGTTATCCAGCTGCCCAGGACGAAAGATGTATTCACCTTCATGCAATTGCACAAAAAACATGTGCTTGCACAGTTCCAGGAAAAGAGGTTTCTCAAAGTGGCCAAGAACCCTGCAGGAAAGAAAATGAGATATTAGCCTTTTTTCCTTTTCTGCAAAGGGAAACCTAAAACCGTCACTGTCTTTGCAAAATCCTTCCTAAATTAGCAAAGCCCCCAGGCATGAATACCACAGGAACCCCAGAGGCAGTTCTTGCACAGCAGCTCAACAACACGGCAGAAGGCACAGAACTACTGTAAATACTGGAGATCCTTTTTGAGTAGCTCTCCGAGCAATGCCAGCAGGCTCAGAAGGAAGTAGATCCAGTCTTTCTCAAGCAAACACCAGCATGGCTTTTGAAGGGGAAGAAATATAAAAGCCTGCAAGATTCACACACTGCATGAGAAAAGTTACCCTATGGAACCTCCCCTTTTCATACAGCTACCCTGTCCACGTAATCAGAACACATGAGAAATATCGAAAACAAAGGGAAAAATTCCTGTCATTTGCACATATTTTAAGTTTGGAATATTCCATCTCCTGCAGGTAGCACGCAGCTGGACTCCTGCAATACTGAAACTAGTCAGTTACTACCAGGCAGACAGAAAAAAGTGCCCATTCTGTGCACAACACCAGAAGGGCCCTCCATTAGCTCACATTTAACAGGATCAATCTATCAAATTTGACTGCAACATCGATGAGTCATAGGAGATCATAATTCCACAGCAGAAAGTTTAGATTACTTAAATAGCAGTTTTATTACAGTATGTATGACTTTCAGGACTAAGTTGTAGCATAATTGGAAGAAAAATGAACATACACAAACAAAACCAAAATTACAGGTCTGAAGATCTCATCCTCTCTGCTGTGTCAGCAATATAAACACTTGACTGAACAGGCACAAAGACCATCCTTTCCTCTCAACCTGCTGAAGAGCTGTGGGGATTAAGTTGACTTTGATCCTGTTTGCAACCTTTTCAGCCAGAAAAATAAAAGATTCTGCAGTTTACAGAGTTGTAGATATAGTATCCAATTAACATTTACCAATTATGATGCCTTTTTGTACCAAAAAAATTGTCTGATACAGTCTAAAGGGAAGTTTAAAAATGTAGAAATCTGTTCATGTTAGAAAAGCTTTACTATCATCCCCAAATTTAGGTCACTAATCTGTGTCTTTTTTTCTTTTTTCCTTTTTTTAAACACAATCAACTATTTTCTTAATGTTTCTAGAAAATTAGAAGTCATCTATTCTCTCCTCATGCTCAGATGAGCTTTCAGTCAACTGCTTGAAAGATTCTGACCATCCAGTGATAAAATTTAAGATTTGACATGAACTGCCAAATATTTAGATCACTCAAACATCTGTCAAAAACAAAATCCAAATCTATCGTTCCATTTAACATTACCTAACATTTTTAAGCATGTATAGGACTTCCGATGGCAAATGGGAATTCTTTACATCAAATTCAGTCAGATCTGCCTCTAGCAAAGAGGGAGGTGGTTCTTTTGGCTGTAGAGTTGGACACTCCTTCTTAATACGCAGAATCCTACAAAGAAAAAGACAAGTCAGAAAGTTCAGGAAGTGTCCTCATTTGTCTTAAGTATGGGCTGTATCATGACACCACAGGTTGACTGCAATACTGAACACACACCATGCCAAGTTACATACCATCAAGTAGATAAAACAGTAACATTCCACCCTCCAACTGCTCCTTTCCTGCCTGTCTTCAGCAAAACCAGAGACAGTGCTGTGTACATAAACCACTCCATTTCAGCAAACTTCCCAGCAAAATGCAGGGCCAATGCACAGCTGACAGGTCTGCGACAAAACAGCAGCTATGGAAAAGCGCTAAACTAGGGATAGGTTCCACACCACAAACCAAAAACAACCCCAACCAAACCACAAAACCGGCCTCCATGGCATGAATTTTCCCCTTCCCAAAAACTCAAGTACCTTTTAGCCAAAGATAAAACTTTTGCCCGCTTCCGCATCCTTTGGCGAGGCACAGCGTTCCCAACCAGAGAGTTTGGAAGAGTTGTAACCTAGGAGGAAATCATGAAAACAAAAGCATTTACTAAAAACCAAACCAAACAAACAAAAAAATCCCAACCCACTAGTTCCAACCCTGCAAATGCTCCAACTTATCTTAGCAAGCCATTAGAATAGGAGCAGAGTGAAGCACTCATACAAGACCTTGGAGGACTGGAACACCGTCTACTCCAGGATCACTTTCTTTCTAGAAAGCAAGTGGAGTATTTTTTGATTTTAATAACCAACTACTACAATGGTAGTGGATGGTAGGGCGGGGGGGGGAACCCTTCGCTATGCAGTTGTCACTCAGGAATGCTCAACATCAGGCAGAGAAGTAACATTTAACGCTCCAGTACTCCTATGGCAGTCTGTGGTGCTGACAAACTAGGGCCTGCTTCATTTCTGAGCTGGTGACAAACAGCAACACAGAGGTGCAGCGAGGTTTCTACTTGTTTTTAACGGTTACTAAGTGCCACCTCCTGGAGAAATGCAGCAACTGCAAGACCAAGAAAAAATCTCATTAGTTACTTTCAAAATATTACTAGTCCTCCACTTGTTTCTCAAGGAGTTTAAACCCAGGAAAAGGTTTCTCTCACAAAAAAAAAAAAATCTTTAACTAGTTTGGAAAACAACTTTTTTTTTTTAAAGAAAGTAAAATCTGGGTATTTTATCAAAAATATATGAAATACAATCAACAGCAGTTCGTTTGTAATATTCTATGTCTTGTTCAGGAATAAAGGCAAAAAGCAAGGTCTAAAACCCCAAACCAAAAAATACCTGAAGTTATTTTACCACATGGAATGCTAAGCCTTCTTCACTTCTGTGAGTTACATACAAACAACTGCGTTAAAAGAATATTAAAATTAAAAAGTCGCTGGCAACAAATACAATTTCTTTTCACTGAGGGCTTTTTTGACCAAGTTCCACATGAAGCCTGATCCGCAATGCAAAAGCAAGGTTCAGGGAGAAACCTCCTCTCTCCACAACGAACCATACCCCAGAACTAAATATTAGAAACAGCATAGTGTCTAATTATTAAGTCCAAGTATTTGAGTTCACCTCAACGAAGTTTAGCAGCATTTGAGGCAGAAGGCTGCAGTTCACAAGAAGAGTTCCTCCACAAGCAGTGACTAACAAAGCACGGTTACCTACCTGTACCTTAACTTACTTGACAGATGTTATTTTTAAGCGCCCTGGCAATGCAAGTGCACACCTGGACTCGAGCAGGCTATCCCACAGGGAGCAGCTGGGACACCCCACGGAGGGTGTTCCGATCCTGACAAGGGGCCAGTCCCAATCCTGCCTCGCAGCTCCCCTGGGCTGGAGAGTCCACCGGACCCACACCCTGGCTCTGACTACAGACAGCGGGCAGGGAGCACTTGCTCAGAACTCAGTAGCCTTTTCCTTCACCCACCCTTTGTATCTACAGTTACAAGCAAGTAATAACCATTTGCTCCTCTGAAAAGAGGTCGGAGTAAGAGGCAGTTTTCCAGAGTCAGGCTTTATCAACAGCATCATATACACTAAAACTGCACACAGAGCTCCAAGAAGTTGCTACACAGATTTTGGTACAGGAAGTCTTGAGTAAGTCAGTCACTTCAATCTCCAGGACCTACTGCACAAGTTTCTAACAAAACCACATGCAAAATCCCTGCACCGACATAGCCACTCATGACACCTCTGAAAAGGTGAGTTCTTGTGACCACAGTGGTACTGTCAGTCAGAAAAAAAAACTAATCTCACATTCCATACACACTAAGTAGCTTCAAGGGAAGCACGTATTTTGAGGAGAAAGACAGGAAGATTAGTCTCCTAGTTAAATGAAATCCAGGGACTCAGTGGTGATCACCTAGCATGCCTACTAAGATTAACCTAATCCTCTAAAGGAAATGTCTGTCTGCAGATTTCCTCAAGCCTTCTTGTTGCAATTTCCCAAGAAAAGCCACTTGCAAAGATAAAAGTAAAAAACAAACAAAAAAATGAAGTAAATACCAAAGAGGCAGCCACAGCCTTGAAGGATTTAACCAACTGATGCAGAAACAGATTCCTGACTGATGGAAAATTCTTGAGACCTTTCAGAATAGGACAGGAACAAGACCAGGACAATAACCTGAGGGCACAGGGGGTATTCCTTGTGGAAATCCAAGGCAAAGAGGTGGATCTTGGGATAAATCCCTCTTGAACAGTCTCTAATGAGCCAGTTTGACAAGTCCCACTTGCAAATCAGTACAAGAAAACAAGGGCTCATATTGCTGAAGTGCTTGGTGCTCTTCACAGGTAGACTGCAGAAAGGTAATTCGAGGATCTGCTCCACAAATAGACTCACACGGGAAAGAAGATGTCAGCTTTGAATATAATGGCAGTACTGGAAGTCATTACCTGAAAGGGACAGTCCTGAACACAGACACTGAATATCTTGACTATAACCGTAAATACTGAGAGAGAGAGATATTTAAACAATCATTGACTCCAGAACTGAGTTAGATATTCACTGAGTTATCACTACCCTCAGCATCTGCAAATATTCTTGAAAGAGGTAAGGTATGGCCAGAAAGAGAAGCTACTGCTGTTCCATCAGCAATTCAGGCAGAATTCCAGGAGTTCTGAAACATCCCAAAAATTCCAGTGCAATTTTATAGATTGAAGGCCCTGGGCCAGGCTAAGCAAGTAAAGTACTGCAAAGCTTACACCACCTTCCAAACAGGATTTTAACCTTTACTTCTCTCCCACCATGCCAGATGCGCTTACCTTTCTCATGATCTTCCTCCCATAGAACATCACTTTGTCGCGCTTGCGAAATCTGTACTGAGGCACATGAGGCTGAAGTTGTTCTGAAACAGAGAAGGATCACATCAGAAACTGTCTGCAGCCCTAAGCAGAGGGAAAGAACACTGAGCACAGGTTGTCAATGTTGCTATCTCTGCAACAGCTGTGGCTCCTGTGTACTAAGCAGCAAGCTCTTGTCGCCAGCGTTTGGAATTTAAACCAACACAAAACACCTCATGATCCAACTCTGGTTAGCCAAACCAGACTAGGGAAGATCTGGCTTGAGGCTCTACCTAACCACTGGAGGAGATAAAAAGGCTTTCTAAACATGACACAAGAATCAGGTAATTTAAATCTCACAGAGGAACCTCTAATTCACCTGTTTCTCATTACTAGAGCAGTGAAATCGCAACAGGGTTGAAATTATTTGCATGCCAACTGATAATAAGGCTATCATATACTAAAGAAAGAAAAACCTCAAGCGTCCTGCAGGTGACAGTTATGAATCCTGTGTTCAGGCCTTGGTAAGTGAATTAACACAAGTTCTTCATCCTTTAATTTTACAGCTGTTTTCCTACAAGAACCACTACCTTCACAGCAAGTAATTATTACAAATCGGCACAGAATCCACCACATATTATTACAAAAATACTGAAGATAGCTGAGAAAACTGCTTTTAAAACATACATGTTTATTGAGTACTTACTTGATTGTTTCACTCTTCTGTAAACGACAAACACAACAATTGCTATAAGTAGTAATGCGACTGCAGCTCCAATTGCAATTCCAGTCAGCTGTAAGAGGAATTCAGCAGGGAGAGAACTTAGTAACTTCTAAAGTTCAAAATGATTAGGTATTTTTTGGAGGACTGAAGAACACTTAGCTCAGTAAGATGTCTCAAAGTCAAGCACATTTATAAATACTTAATTTTTAATTAAAACATCACACATGCAGTAAGTTTAAACTACATCAGTATCTCACACATAAGCTCACATGCAAAATATTCAGCATTTTTCTCCCCAGAGATCTGTGACCTGATCAACTCAATGTACATGGGATGAAATAACAGGAATTACTTCCTGCCTCATGCACAGCAACAGCGAGGAAACAAACACTAAGACTTTGTGGCTTAGTACAGTTCCTAGAACTTACGAGAAGTTACACGCTACTCACACATACACAATCTTTTGTCCAGCTGATTAAAGCTATACGTTACCATAGTAGTCTGTATCCTGTCTTCTACAAACTGAAGAATTCGTGTTCCACCTGCTGGTAACACAGCCTAGCACCAAAAGGAAGGTGAAGTTAGTTTCCCACAACTGGTAAAAAGCCTCCATAAAAACACCCCAGTGCCTGGTCTGGCACATACAACTTGGCTGTATTTTCCAGCATCTTTCTTTCAACTATGGCCCACTTTGCAAACACAAGACGCCCAGTGGAGAGGGGTCCTTAGCGGAGTTCTACATTGGTGTCAGTTCAACACGTTCCTAAATAGCCCTAAAACAGGGTCAAACAGTGAGGTTTGAAAAAAATAAACTTTTTTTGATGATTCTATGTTATTCTGAGCAACAAAGATGAGAACTGAACATAAAGGACTTTATGAGACTGAGAAAATAAGTCATAAAACAGCAGATTAAATTCACTACAAAAAGAAAATTATGCACGTGGGAAAAAACTCCAACCTCAGGTAGAGAGCCCTGGGACCTGGGCCGACTATTGTTATTCAGGAAAAAAATGTGGCAGTTACAATAGTCTCACAAATGCCAGCTCAAAACTTACCAGAACAAGGGGGAAAGAGGCAACCCACATGTTAGCAACAAGTAGGAAACAAACCAAGTACAAGGACACATATGTCCCTCTGTATGTCTTAAACATTACAAGTACTTGAATCTTAAGTACTACACGCAGTTCTGGTCCCAGTTTTCACCCTCAGTTCCAGATCTGGATGACCTCTTAATTTAGCTTTGCCACCAACAGAAACACGAAGTGCACGCCAAGAGTTGCCAAACTAGTCTCTCTCATGGAATTCATTCCAGTTCTAACAGCAAAAACCAAACTCCTGCCTGAACAGTCAATTCAAACGGATCGCTGTCTTCAGTTTGTCGTCTTAGGTTGCTTTAACACAGCATATCCACAATTTATCCTCCCAACATTAGTCGAACTAACTCTATTGTTGTTATTATCAAACTATTATTAGTGGGATCATAGCGGAAGGTCACAAGAATTTGAAAAAAAAAAAGTTGAAAATTTCTTTGCAATACATACAAAACATTCTGGCAAAATACAGCGAGTTCTTGGTATAAGTCTATTGTCGTCACTTAATTTTATTTCCCCTTGACAGTGTCGGGGACATGCACAGTTCTGCTACTATCCATGCCTGTATGATCTCAAATAACATCAAAAATAGTAGTTGCCAACTGACAGTCACATTGCTGCTACACAAGGGGAAGAAACAAATTCACGAGCAAAAGAATAAAACATACACATGCACAGACTGAGCCCTCATGCCTCAACACAGAAAAACAATGAGGGAAAGAAGAAATTCCGACCTCCAAGAAAAACTGAGAGGTTTTTGCAAGGTTTCTCACAAACACTGGTGAAAACATGATATTCCCCACACATACGCAGTGGGGCATCTCTTCAAGCACTGACAATCCTTCCGGGAAAGCAGAGAAAGCAAGCAGACAGGTTGCAACCCTACAGACGCTTGAGACACCCAAGCAGTTATTGTGACATCACAGCATCTGAGAGAGGTATGAGGTCACGGTTAAGTCATCAGTTCTGTAGGGCCCTCCCATCAGCCCAAGCCTGTAGGACCTCTTAGGAGGGCAACAGCCAGCACTGAAATTCAAGGACTTCACACATGCCTTACACAGCCTCAAACAATTCTCGAATGCAAAACTCATATGGAACAACCCTGAAAAGACCCTCACTTCGTTAGAAAATGGAGCAATGATACGCTAAGAGTACGTATCAGCATAAATAGCATTTGTCTGCTTTTTCCAATGATGTTGAAATTTCATTAAGAAAATGGGAATGAAAAGTGATTAACAAAAATATACAGCTATGTAAGTAATGCTCACACTCAGAGTATCAAGCACAGAACAAGCGGCTCTGCTGAGAGTTCAATAACTTCACATTGCAATCAAAAGCAAACAGTGAGGCATACCCTGTTTAGGGAGGGGTGGAAAACACTTATTAGCACCAAAAGCGAGGCCTTAAAATTAGGATTGCCCAAAACATCAGACTTCCTTGTAGCTCGTAAGTGCACAGGTCCACATGCCCATTTTTCCACTACAGATACTGGATTTTCACAAAACACTAACTGCATATGTGTAGTTTGTATGGGTTTTTTTAGCTCCGAAAATACCTATTTCTTATCACAGGCCTTGTCTTTCAGTACTATGAAAAGCACCACATGCCTTGTTGGACTATGAATTTCTTGTTCATGATTAAGAACAAATACAAGAAGAGCTAGCTGCTAGCGAATTCTGCAATTCTTCCATTTTTAGGCTAGAAGGTACTGCTGAAGCAAAAGGTACTTAACTTGTATCATTCTGCTAACAGCTTAGAATATGAAGCTAAGTGAATGGTTTGCAGGAAAAAAAAATAAAAAAAAATAAAAACACACACACACAAAAAATGGGACCAATCTTGAAATTTTTGGAAGGACAAAACTCTTACCAGGAAAGGATCTTTCAAAGTAAAAACACCGCAACTGAGGACATTACCCAAATGTTATCATATAAGGTACAGTGGCCTTCAGCTTCTGGAAACACAAACAAGGAAACAAACATGCCCAAAAATAATAGCAAAGCATATTGTACCTCAAGGCTGGTGCTGTTGCCTTCTTCATCCATGTCTGGAGGTACAGCAGGAGCAAAAAATGAAAAAAAGAAAGAGAAGACCCAGTTAAGAGATGACGGTACTCTCTAATCCAAAGTCTGTTTAACTCCGCGATGCAAAGTGTACCAGAACTGCTCGTCCAGTTTGGCAGAACAAGACAATTCAAGGGGAACAACATTATTTATTTTTTTTTACTTCACTGTCCCTTTTTCTCTGGGTTGAGCAACAAAACCCAGCAAGTCTCCAAGGAAAAGCTACCAGTAACGACAGCTACTGAACTCCTCCGGGGAGCGGCAGGACAGGCCGTCACCCAAACATCCAAGAAGGCAGCTGGGTCTCCGCTCCATCTTAAAAAAACCTCGGGGGCTTAAACGCCGAAAGCAGCCACAGGAACGACGGAGCCCCCCACCAGGTGCCCACGTCCCAGTAGCCCAAAGAGAACGACCTCTGGGTGACGCGGCCTTTAAGGAAAACGAAAATACCGGTTTTCGGCCACGCCTCATGTACTGACACTTAATTTCGGGGGAAAAGCCTTAGAGAG